AAATCTTTAATGCTATTCTAACTTCTAATGTGATCTTCAAACTAATGCCAAAACTCTTTAGAATTGTCGGAATACATATATAAAGTGCAGATGCAGGTTGCAAATTTATGCTATTTGAAGAAGTTGATCGTTTTTTATTTGTTTTAGCTGGTTTTGGTAGTTTTGGTTTTTTACTGTTTTCTTTTAATCGACTTACTGCCTCTTCTGAGGTTAATATTTTAGAACTAGGATATACTCGGGACTTTTTTGTTGTCTCCGGCTTAGGTGCTTAACGAACTACTACGTTAGCACTAGGTTCTTTTGTAGCACTTCCTTCGTTTGATGTAGAAGAGACTGTAGTGTTATCTGCTGATCTAGAAGCCACTGCAGTGTCATCTGCTATCGAATTCCCGTTAACATGGATAGTACTTTGAGAATTGTTCCATCTTTTAAGTGCTTCTGGTAGAAAAGCTTCATCCGGTATAACATTTTTGTTAATTGGGAAAATTTCACCTTTTGGGAATTCACCCTCTATAACTTCTCTTAAAATAGCATTTTAGGTTTCGCAGAGAAACTGCGAAAACATTCTCTTTGTCAGTTTTTGGCCCACATGCTGTCTTGCCCAAGATATCAACTTTTCATCCCATTTTAGTTTAATTGCCGAAAACAGACAGATCTAATGGTTGCAAAAGATGACTGCTGTGTTGTGGTAGTTTTAATATAGTTATGTTATTCTCGATAGCTGTATTAAGTATTTCTAAGCTTATATGGATTAAGTGACATCATAAATGATTAAAACGGGACGTTTTAGTCTAAGTGCTGGAATCAAAGTTTTCCGGAAATAGTTCGTAAAAATATCACTCTCCATCCAGCCTTTCCTACTGACAGCATAAACGGTATCCGGAAAATCTGCTTAAGAAGGTGTAAGCCACTGGTCCCACAAATACTTGCCTTTAAATATTATTAATGTTGGGGCTTGACTACCGGCTGCGTTGGACATTAAAAGAATGGCTATGTTTTCTTTACTTGGGGACATTATTGTTCTCGAAGAAGCTTTGTTGACTGCATCAACTATTTTAGATTTTCTCGGTTCTATACTTAGGCTGCTTTCATCTAAGTTCCATACTCTATAAGGCTTATCAACAAGCTCAAGCTCGGTCATAGTTTTTTCCAACAGGTCAAAATATGCATAGATTATGAATGGGTCTAATGCTTTCTTCCTAGCATATTCCACATTTTGTGGGATTTTTACACTGATACTAAGATACTTCTTAAAGTTAAGGAACCATCTCTCTCATGGTTATTGTCTTTAAAATTTGCTTTAATTTTATTTTCAGTTATAAATTTTCCAATTACTTGAAACGCCTTTTCCCTGGACAAATCGAGTCCCCAGTTTTCTAGAACCATGGGCCAATTTTAATTCTTGTGCAATTGGAATATTTATCGGGTTTTGTTAGTTTGTTTTGCTTCCCGGATTATTAGAATTCGACTGTAGAGTGTTTCATACCTTAGACCATAAAAAACTGATAGACGCGCCGTAATGCTATTCTGTCGTCTCGAGGAGTGAAGCCAACATAAAACCATTCACACATCTGTGGGTGACGTCAGTTTGAGGCAGAAACTGTAGAGATTAGTAGTGTTTATACGCGTTGTAAACGTTTTAAAGTGTTTAAATTTAAAATTTTACCAATACATTAATATTATAATTATGGTGGCATCTTGCAGTGCATTTAATTGTACGCAGCGACAAAAAAAGGGACAGATATATCATTTCACGGGTAAGTAAATTCACAAATTAAACTTGAAAAATATACCAGAAATTTAGCACCTATTATTTTACTTTTTGCTCCCTTATATATAATTTTCATTTTATAATTAGATTAAAAACTAAAGTATTAAGTAAATAAATTGTTTCAGATTTCCTAAAGATTCATCATTGCAAAAAAAGTGGATTATAGCGATGCGCCGTGAAAATTTTAAACCAACAAAGAGTTCTAAAATTTGCTCCAAACATTTCACAGCGGATTCGTATATTACTAGCGGTTGGAGTTCAAAAAAAAAACAACTAAAAGAAGATGCTGTACCTAGCATTTTCGATTTTCCAAACCATTTAATTAAGCAAGTTACAACTAGAAAATTTACAAAAAAAAGAGAAACTGTTTCAGTCAAACCAACATGATCTAAAAGGGAAAATATAAATATAACGAGTGAATCTACCACCATAAAGACTCCAGTAGAAATTTCAGACGAAACTACCTTAGAACCTCCCTTGAAAAAGCGAAGACATTATCTTGGTGACTTTGAACAAGGATCGTCTAACAGAGACCAGGGATATAAAGTAGTAGTAAACAAATTAATTCAAAAGAAAAACAAACAAATCAAAATGTTGCAACAACGAAATAGAAGGCTTATTAAAAAAGTATTCATTGAACATATCAATGATATTTTTGATATTTTAAATAGCCGAAATTTATTGGCAAAATACCTAAAATCTACTTTACAGCATCATAATAAACAAGCGATTTTTCAAAAAACTGAAGAATCTATAAAATATCTTAGTTCACTTAAGTGTTCCAAAAATGGTGAACCCCTATATCTAAGTCAAAGAAAGACGGGTTTTATTGGTATGATCATTAGTTTAAAATCACTAATGGGAATTTGGAAAAATTACGTGAAGGATATGGATGGAGGTCTGAAGTATCTTTCGGCCTATAAACTTTCTCAACATCACTTAGAAGTTTTCTTTAGTTCTATTAGGAGTCATGGAGATTACAACAACAACCCAACGGCAAAACAATTTAAAGCTGCATAAAAAAGACTGTTAATGCACACAAGTATTACAGGATCTACCCAGGCTAATTGTATAGAACAGGCACCTTCCATAATATTAGCAATGAGCACAACAAATACTGTGAAAATGAAAACTGTTGATCATCAACTCATTGACAACTTTATAACTGATGAAAATAATATTGATACAATAACTAGTAACCAGGATCAGGATTATACTGTAAATAATTTAAGTTTTTCAAGAACATTGTCATCTTATGTTTGTGATGTTGTTGACTATATCGCTGGGTTTGTCGTTAAGAAAGTTAAGAAAACATTAGATTGTGACATATGTTTGTATGCAATTGAATGTGATAATTTACAATCTCCATTCATAAGATACAAAAATTATAGCATGTCAAAAGATTTTTTAATTCAACCTTCTAAAGACGTCATTCATATTTGCAAAATTGCTGAAAGCAAAATTAAAATTAAAGCAAAATTAAAAATTTATGTACAATTCAAAAAAATTAAACGATTCCAAAATAATGACAAAATTGATCTTAAATGTCATGAGTAACGTGCATGGTTCTGTGTTTAACGCATACAAAGAACATATGTTTGATCATGAATTTGAAACAAACCATTTGTTTAATCTAATAAAGATAATTTGTTTCCATTATTGCAACATTAGATTGTACCACGAAGGTGAAAAACTAAATAATGTAATAAGAGTTAGAAGTAAGTTACCAAAAGCTATTTTGTTTTGTGGTCAATAAATTAATAGATTTCCTACATATTTTTTACCTATCCTGAAACTTCCACCCAAAAGAAAATTATTCTCCTTTAAATTTATTTCTGAATATCAAACAAGAAGTGATATACCAACGATATATATAATAATATATGTAGATATGTACTTTTAAATAAAACATTTATTTTTACAATTTAAGGCAAAAATATTTATTAATTACTTTGCTAAATAATTTATCTTCCATATTTTTTACAAAATATTGAAGTTATATTAAAATTAATCTAAAATTGGGTAATTATACTAGTGCTTTGCTAAGAATCCAAGCGGGCTCTTGCCTCATTGTGACGTCACTTTCGCGGAAGGTCTTTGCTTCAACGGTTCGGTACAAGGCGTGTCTATCAGTTTTTATGGTCTAAGTTTCATACGGTATATTGAATTGCTTGCAAGCGCCATATATAGTGTTTTCCTCCTGAATTTTCTTCCAATATTGCTAAATTCAAGTCTTTGTTCTTGTATTTTGCATCAGATGCACTCGTTTTTTATGTATGTACGCACCATGATGAATATGAAATAACGAGGTAAATGTATTACATATCACAATTTAACTGTATGTATTCTTGTTTCACATTTGCCCCAAAAAATATTTTTCATAGGCAAATGTGATACAACAACAAAAAGAATCACGTGATATTATTTTTGTCGTAAAAACTTACATATACACATTAATATTATAAAGAAAAAGTTACCAAATACTTAATCAGAGTTACCTTGTGAAATATTAATTATACTTAAAGATTAGGCAGGATTCAGGCGTTGACGTTCAATCATTAACCAGATCTTTACACTACGACAGATCCTCGAAAAAGCGCAAGAGTTTAACATAGATATGTATCATATTTTTGTCGATTTTAAAGCGACATTTGACGCCTTAGAAAAAGTTGTACGAGACGCTAATTTAGATAGCAGGGGAACAATATTTAATAGATCAGTCCAAATTCTAGCATATGCAGACGACGTGGACATTATAACAAGAACCAGGGCGAGAACTGCGGAAATCCTAACCGAGCTAGTAGCAGCAGCAGAACGAATGGGGTTACATATAAATCAAAATAAAACCAAATTCATGGCGACTAACACAAACACAAGAGCTGGAAATGTTGACGCAAATTTAATCATCAATGACCAAAACTTCGAAGCAGTCAAAGAGTTCATATATCTAGGGACATCGGTTAACCCAATAATAACACATCTGAGAAAATAAAAAGTCGAAGTAATAATTGCAAACAGGGGTGATCATGGTCTATCATGGTTAAAATTGATTTTTATCTATCTAGATTTTTATTTGAACCTAATAAACCTTCATTTTTTTAACTTTTTTAGAGTTCTTAAATTGATATTATCAGCAACATTCAGCTTGTTCGTATGATTTTTAGGGGTCAAATCTCTGACGACTGGACTATTTATTATTTTAAAAATATAAAAACAGAACTCTTTTTACCTTTGCGAAAGAAATTGCTTCTTTCATCCAGTGTGCCCCAAAATTTGGTGACTCGGGATGTATGTAAATTGGATTAGATGGAGGAACTTCGGCCTTCCCTCCTGGTACCCATTCTCCATTAACATATTTCCACCTATGCGGATCAATTTGAACAAATTCTAATAGAACTGTGTACATGGCCTTTGGATCGAGACCCCCAGCTGTGACTTTAATAACAGGAAACATTCGCCTGTGAAATAAGATTTATTTATTAAGCGGATTAATTAAAATACAATTTCAGATTAAACTATCAGGATTACATATGATAAATTTTTTCAATGTACTATCCGTTGCACGATAATTCGGATGGAATTCTCCAGATTAAGAAACTCGGCCGATATCAAGCACAAAATGACTGTACTCCCTTAATTCTGTAACGAATAGTCACCTTTAGTCTTTCGTTACATTAGGTTCAATTTTAAATTCTATCCAAAATGTAAAGGTACTTTACTAAATGATACAAAGTAGGTGTAGCCTAAAATTTTAAGGATAATTTTGTGTACCTGTTTAAATTTAATCAGTTAATTGCATTTGTACTTGGAATTCAGAATTAGAAATTTCTAGGTACGTAAAACCAGTGTTTATAAGAGATTAGAAAATTTCTTGGAATTTTATTCAGGTAAAAGGATAATGTTTACTTAATATCAAATTATTTCAGGAAGTGAAGACGAATCTGAACCTGAAAAATGTTCTGGTTATATTCATCTCACACACGATGCAAAGCAAATCGTGCTTAACTTGTACAACGGTAAGTCTTCTTCTTCTTCTTCGTCTAGCCATTCACGTCCACATCTGAACATAAGCCTCTTCAAGTCTTCCTTTCCATTGTTTTTTATTGTACGCTACTTGTAGCCAATTTTTCCCGGCAGTCCTTTTCAGATCATCTGTCCATCTCATAGGAGGTCTGCCTCTGGGTCTTTTGTGTTGGTATGGTCTCCAGGTTAAAATTGATCTGTGCCATTTGTTTAGATCGCTCCTAGCTACATGTCCAGCGTATTCCCATTTCAGCTTTAATGCTTTTTGCACCACATCGGTGACTTTGGTTTTCTGTCTTATCCATGTGTTTGTTTTCTTGTCCTTAAGTGATATACCTAGCAGTGCTCTTTCCATCGCGTGTTGAGTGACTCTAAGTATATTCATATTCTTTTTTGTGATTGTCCATGTTTGTGCCGCATAAGTTAATATCGGAATAATGCATGCATCAAAAACTTTAGATCTAAGATGTAATTGAATTTGTTGATTTCTGAGTATATAGTTCAGTTTACCGAATGCTGCCCAAGCTAACTTTCTTCTTCTTTTTATTTCTTCAGTCTGAATTTCCCTATTTAGGATTATTTTTTGTCCCAAGTATATATATTCTTCAACTTTTTCTATAACTTTATCGTTTATTATTGTCACGGTGTCTTCGGAGTGCATGACTTTTGTTTTGTTTAAATTCATTTTCAGTCCTATTTTAGAAGATTCGGTATGAAGTTCTACAAGCATGGTTTGCATTTCTTGTAGGTCAGTAGCTATCAGGATTATGTCATCTGCAAATCGTAGATTACTGAGGTAGCGGCCATTGATGTTTATTCCCTTATATTTCCAATTTAGGTTTTTAAAAACGTCCTCCAAAACTAAGGTGAACAGTTTGGGTGATAAAGTATCTCCCTGTTTGACTCCCCTGTTTAATGGTACAGGGTTCGTGTGTTCATTTTCATTTAGGTAGTATGTAGCTGTAGCTTGGTTCATAGTTTCTTTTATTAAGTTAATATATCTGCTGTCTATTCTACAATTTTGCATTGCGTTTATTACGGCCGTGTGTTCTATGGTATCGAAAGCTTTTTCGTAGTCTACAAATGCAAGGAAAACTGGAAACTTGTATTCGTTACATTTTTCTATTAATATTTTTGTGGTTAACAGGTGATCGGAAGTTGAATAGCCTTTTCTAAAACCTGCCTGTTCATATGGTTGGTATTCGTCTAATTTCCTTGTTAGTCGAGTAGTTATGACTTTGGTGAGTATTTTAAACAGGTGTGACAGTAGGCTGATGGGTCTGTAGTTTTCCAATTTTCGACTATCACCTTTCTTGTGCAATAAGATTACTTTAGAGTTGTTCCAGCTCTTAGGGACTTTGCCCTGATGTAAACAACTGTCCACAAGCTTAGTTACAATTGCAATTAGTTCCTTACCTCCTTCTAATATCATATCTGTGGTAATACTATCTTCTCCTGCAGCTTTATTTCTCTTCATGTTTTCCAATGCTGTAGTTACCTCTGAAATTGTTACTTTTGGCATTATTTCTGATCCAACATTTTTTATTAATTTCCGTGCTGGTCTCATCTCATCATCTTGTTGATGTGATCTGTAAAGTTCTGTGTAAAATTCTTCTATTCGTGTCAGTATGTTTTCTCTACTTGTGATTTCATTTTCGTCTTTTCCTATTAATGATATCATCTGATGTCGTCCTAGTGTCGGTCTGAGACATTTCATCCTCTTATTTTTTTTAATAGTTGTTGTTATTAATTTTTCGTTTTCTTTTCTTTTTTGTTGTCTGATTCCTTTTCTAATCTGCCTATTAAGTTCTCTATATTTGTCGGTTCCCCTTTTGTTAGAATTATTTAAGATCTTCCTTCGTTCTATTTGTTGTAATATTTCTTTGTCTAATTCATTGTATGTTGTTTTCGGTTTTTTCAGTTACAGAAGGCTTTTATTCACTGTTTCGGTAATAAGGTTATTCAAATCATCAATGGAGTTTATCTGCTGCATGCTAACTTGATTTAATGAATGAACTATCTTTTTATTAAGGCTTATCCTCGAATATTGTAACGGTAAAATTCAGAGAGATGTCTATTTCAAAAATATCTTTCTTTACAAAAACAAAATCCATTCACGAAGAATATTCTAAACGTCATCTTGTACTAGAGGTAAGCTTTATACCTACCTTATACAACCCCCTATTGTGTAAAGTCTTGGGTCTATACAATAAACAAGTGGGCGGCCTTCTATTCAGTGCGGTTTTGAAATAATGTTGAATAAAAACATTCATGAAATTAAAATGAAAGAATTTACGTCTATATTAGTAGAAGTGCGATTTATAAAATTAGTACTTGAAGCATAAATCGCGGGAGGAATATGTGCATCAGTTTTCAAATATTTATTATTTACTATATAATTTCTAAATTGAACCACTTTCACTTCTCTAGTTAACAATGTATCTGTTTTGACAACTAAATAGGTAATTAGACAAAATAAATATTAATTTCAAAACAGTAGTTTAAAGAATTAGAAAGAGGTAGCCCTTCTTCAAGTGCCATCTTCGTTCCGAAGGTTGGCGATCATCAGGGCTATACGTATTTTCGAAACTGCTGACCGAAACAATTCGTTGTTGCTACAACTATACCATTCCCGTAGATTCTTTAGCCAGGAGTTTCGTCTTCTTCCTATGGACCTTTTTCCTGCTATTTTCCCTTGCATAATTATTCGAAGCAGTTCATATCTTTCGCAGAGGTAGCCCGGGCCCAGTTAAATGGTCAAGCTTATTCCAGTGGAAGCAATAAGGAGGATTATTTTTCGTTTTGGCACAGCTGACATGCTCTCTCTAGCACTACAACCCATGAAACTGTGGTAAAAAGCATGCTTTATTTATACGGTTGTGAAACACGACGATTAACAGAGACAGATTAATATCGAAGAAAGATATCTCGTCGAACTTAATGCAATAAAGTATGAGAATAGAAGGTACAGTCATGGATGGCATACAACGAAAGCAGCTCAAATGGGTACAGGTCCAATAAATGAAAGACAGTAGACTCCTAAAACAAGTACCTGTATGAACACCTACCGTAATCCAGAAGAGAGGATTACCTTAGAAAACACGGATGGAAGGAATAAGAAACTTAATGAGCTCGAAAGAACTTAAAGAACAATGGAACAACCGAATTGAATGAAAAATGAACGTCGGAAGACATTTTATAAGGATTATATCATATTATAGGTACATTTTGTGGACTAAAAATAAATTTGAAGAAAACCAAGTTCATGGTATTTACAAAAGCACAAAGCATCAAAGTTAAGCTAGTACTAGATAATACAGAAATTGAACAAATATCTTTGTACAAATACCTTGGAGCATGGATCACAGAAGATACTGATTAGACAAAAGAAATACGATGCCGCATTGGAATTGCACGGTCAACTTTTAATAGAACGAGAAAACTTTTTTGTAATCGAGATATCAATATATCGCTCCGGATAAGAATGCTTTGATGTTATATTTTCTTTACCCTTTTATATGGGATTCAAGCTTGGTCACTTCAAAAATCCAACATTAAAAACCTAGAAGCATTCGAAATGTGGTGCTACCGACGTGATTTGAAAATATCATGGATGGATCGCAAAACAACCGAACAAGTTCTCGAACAACTAGGAAAACAATGCGAAGTTTTAAATTCCATAAAAATCAGGAAATTAGAATACTTGGGGCACATCATACATCACACATCAAGACGTAAAATCTAGTGGTTACGCAATCTCCGTGAATGGTTTGGATGCAATTCAACAGAACTATTCAGCCGCATATCCAACAAAATGATAATTGCCAGAATGATTTCCAATCTCCGATAGGAGTGGAACTTGAAGAAGAAGAATAAGTACATTATTATTATATCATATTATATATATATATATATATATATATATATATATATATATATATATATATATATATATATATATATATTATATTTATATAATATATGATATAAACGATATTGAAAGAGGTTACAACATAGACAATCAACAAAATCTACATCGACAACTACACAGTGAACACCCAACAATAATAGAAGTGTCAAATGCCGTCCTAAAACTCAAAGACAATAAAGCCACAGAAATCGATTAAATCTGTTGGAAAATATATAAAAAAAGGTGATGATCAACTTTTTGCAGTAACCCATAAACTAATAGTACTTATATGGCAAAATGAATTTGTTCCAGAAGAGTGGCTAAATGAAATAATATACGTTGCATAAAAAGGACGATTAACTGGATTGTAAGAACTATAGAGGCATT